GTTATAACAATAATGATTTTTTTTTAATAAATGCAATATCAATATAATATTATTTTAATATTAATTCAGTATCAAAATAATATCAAAATGATATTATCTATAAATATTGAATTTACCTTTAAAAATATCAAATCAAATATCGTTAAATTCAATTTTATAATATTTTAATAATTTGTAATCTAATTTAAAAGTTAATTTCAATAGATTTAAGTTACTGGTTATTTATTACAATAACAATTTTAATTACAAATAAAGTATACATTAGTTTAAATATTATATAACAAATAAAAAAAAATATCAATAAATCTATAATAAACTAATTCAATAAATTAGAATTATGAGTTAAATTGGTGATGTAAGTCAAAACATTATGCCTTAATACTCCAGAATCATAACTCATCAACCCAAAGTTGAGAATTAACCGGGTATCTTGCTTTAGATTCAGCGACACTTAGTGTTCCAAAAAAATCTGATATGATTCGTATCCGCGGATCTGATCCGAAATGGATCGGAACGGATCAGCTTTTTTATGATCCGTGATCTGATCCGAATCAAAAAAATTTGATCCGTTTCAGATCGAATCGGATCGGATCAGTTATTCACTCAAATCGGATCGGATCGAATCAGATTCGAATGGCTTCAGATCGGATCCGAATTGGATCCGAATCATAGAAAATAAAAAATGTTTTGCGCAATGTTTTTTATTAAGACAATAAAAAACCGTTGCGAAATGGTTATTTTAGTTAAATAAACCATTTTGCAACGGTTTATATTAAAACAATTTAAAAAACTGTTGTGCACCAGTTTTTTTTAGTTAAATAAATCATTTCGCAACAGTTTATATTAAAATATTTTAAAAAACCGTTGCAAAATGGTTCTTTTTAATTAAACAAACCGTTTTGCAACGGTTTATATTAAAACAATTTAAAAACTGTTATGCAACGGTTCTTTTTAGTTAAATAAACCGTTTCACAACGGTTTATACTAAAACAATTTAAAAAACTGTTGCGAAATGGTTTTTTTAGTTAAATAAACCGTTTCGTAACGGTTTACATTAAAATCATTAAAAAACCATTGCGAAATGGTTTTTTTAGTTAAATAAACCGTTTCGTAACAGTTTATATTAAAATCATTAAAAAAACCATTTGAAACAGTTTTTTTTAATTAAATAAACCGTTGTGAAATGATTCTTTTTAATTAAATAAACCATTTCGCAACGGTTTATATTAAAACAAACAATTAAAAGAACCGTTGCGAAATAGTTCTTTTTAGTTAAATAAACTGTTTCGCAACGGTTTATATTAAAATCGTTAAAAAAACCATTGTGAAACAGTTCTTTTTAATTAAATAAACCGTTTCGCAACGGTTTATATTGAAACAATTAAAAGAACCGTTGCAAAATGGTTCTTTTTAGTTAAATAAACCATTTCGCAACGGTTTATATTGAAACAATTAAAAGAACTGTTGCAAAACGGTTCTTTTTAGTTAAATAAACCGTTTCGCAAC